AAAAAAAAAAAAAAAAATTTAAAAATTTTTAAAAAAAGAATTATCATACTGAATACCATTCGTTTGACTTTGTTTTGTATGAAAATTGTCAATAAAAGTGATAAATCTTTTTACCATTGTATCTAGAATTTTTTCCAATTGAAAAAAAAAATGGAAAATTTTTTCTCACCAAAATATCAAGAATTTATTTTCCTCAAAAATGTGGAAAAGGTGGAAAAAAATTTCCTATCAAACACTAAAAAAATTGGAAAATGGAAAAATTTTCTATGGAAAATAAAGCGAATCAAACGGAGCCTAATTAAAAAAATTAAACTATGAAAATTAGAAATGAGTCCCTAAAGTGTTGTAACACCACTAATACTAAATAACATTATTCATTAGCAAATTCAAAAAATAGACATTTGATAACTGACAAGTTAGTAAATTAATTTGAGTCGATTAATTTATTCGATATTATTTGGCCTCGATTTGTCTACCATTATTTAATGAAAATAAGTCTTGTTTGGTAATCATTTTTTAAAAATTCTTTTTTTCTCTCTCGTACTTATTTTCAATCGCACATTTCATATAAAATACTTTTCACACGAAACCAATTTTTTTTTCAACTTTATAATCCTACATTCGCCAAAAAAATTATTATTCAAAAACTCATTATTTCCAAAACGAAAAAAAATAATAGCTATTACGAAAGTGCTAAGTGTTGGTGAAGTGATTTTTTAGAGAATTTGTGGTTAAAAGGTAATTAAAAAAAATCTAAATTTACATGTAAAATATTTTGATTGAAAATGAGTAGCGGAAAAAAAAAGAATGGTTTTGGAAAGATTTAGCATTCGTTGGTCCCCATTATTTGATATTATAATTTTTGAAATTGTATTTTTTTTTTGAAGAATATATAATTGAAAAAGAATGATTTTTTTTTAATTTTGCTATTTGTACACCGGATTTGACACTACGTTGTACAGACCACTCACAAGAGGGGGGTCCACGACCAATAAAAAAAATCGTTGATCCACCATCTTGCGTGTAATATTATTTTATTTAAAAATATGTTGTTATAAAAAGAGAGAAATATATATTATAAATTAATAAGGGACTCTTTGTTAGAACACTCAGTCAAACAAAGTAGTTGGAAAAAAGACTCATTCTCAATGTTTATTGATCATATGGCCTCAATTAAAAAATACAATAAATAAACATTGCAACTTGTCTAAAATATCCCCATCAAGTAAAAGACTCATACACCCTTTTCATCCCAACAAATTCACCATTTCATCTCGTCTGAAAATC